CAAAGAGGGGTTTGGATATCCCAGATGAGGGTGATCAGAGCTGGGAAGCCTCATCCGTAACACAAAGCAGATGAGGAGCAGGACACAGGCTCATTTCAACCCAAGACCCCTTAAATGCTAATTTTTCTTAGGGAAGTTTGAATTTAAAATGGAGCAGGGAAATCTGCTGGATCCACAGGCATGAAAACCCAGGATTTACTGTACAATCCCAAGGGCTTCACGGTCATTCTGTTTCACCAGACATTTCCAGACACTTGCATTCCCCCCAGGAGAAACACCAGGAACCCTGCACTCCAGGAGGGCTGGCAGCAAGGAGCAGAGAGTGCCCTCACCTTGCTTTTGGCTACCAAGACCTGCAAATTACGCTGGAAAACCATCGAGAGCCATCTGCTTGGAACTCTTGCAAAGTTTTGGGCTGGAAACGTTGCACCAACAGAGAGCAGCTGAGTCACTGAGCTCAAGTAGGATCTTCCTGCCATTCCTTCATTGCCTTCTCTACCCTGGGGCAATACCATCTTAGTTTGCTTTCTTTTCCTTTTTTTCCTCCTATGGAACTAATGCTTCTGAAAGTGAGTGGCTAAGAGCACTTAGAAGAGCCAGGGTGCTGCTCTGAGATGATTCCCAGACATAATCTGCAGCACTCCCTGCTCAGCCAGCCCTAAGTCATGGACATCCTGCTCACCTGGTGGTGTAATTAGTGTGCTATATAAATCACCCCCCAGGCTGTCCATCCCTCAGGGCCAGCTCACGGCACCCACCTGGGATTTGAAGTCCAAAACCCTCTCTCTGCATTGTTCTGGTCTTGCAGTACCAGGACAAAGATCTCTCTCTTGGAGGCCTGGCTGCATCTTGCTGCTCCCTGCACACCCCTCCTGAAGGCTGCTCCAGATCCCATCACAACCCTGGCCAGACCCTTTGGACTTGTTTGCCACCACCCCCTCCTGCCCCTCAGTGCCAGGCCCTCTCCTGCACCAGCCCCGTCCCACCCTGGCACTGTCCCACATCTCTCCAGCACGGGGTGACACTCCAGGGCTTGGGGACAGCAGCTGAAACACGAGAGGGCCTGTCCCTCAGGCTGCTCCCTCCTAACCAGGGTGGCTTTCCCGTGGAGTTGCTCCCAGATTTTTCCGTGATCCCCACACGGCTCCAGCTGTCCCCCCCGCTCAGCCCAGCTCCCCAGGTGAGCACATGGCACTCATTGCCACTGCTCCACCCCTGAGAGCTGACCTGCTCATCGGCCTAATGGGTTTGCAGGGGGGTGGGGAGAGCGAGGAGAGCGAGAGGCTGATGCTTCTCAGCCACTCAGCTCGGCCCAAAGCTAACGAGGCATCTCAAAATTAAAAAGTGAACTGCAATCCCCAGCAGGCCTGTCCTCCTTTTGGCATTAGGCGGAGTTCTCTTTCTCTTTTTCAAAAAAAATTGAAAAAAAAAAATTAAAAAAAGAGACCTGGGGAGCCACGAGTTGTGTTTGGAGCTGTGGAAGCAACATATCCTGGGCAGGGTGGGGGTGCTGGGATGAGCCTGGGGGCTCTCTTAGAAAGATTGTGAGGGGCAAGAACTGCCTCAGCATGGCAGGTGGTACATGGGAACAGGTCCTTCCACGTGCCTTTACACCCAAAGGATCCCAGTTGCTCCTGCTCTACAGGCAGGAGTGAATGGGGGAGGCACCCCAGGGCGTGGAGCTGGGACATTGTCCCCAAGGCTGAGAGGGTGGGGACAGGGCAGGGTGACTGCCACTGATGTGGGGACAGGACAGCAAGGAGGAAACAACTCTGCTGCAGGAGGAAAACATGGGGAAAGCAGCAGGAAAGAGCAGGGAAGGGAGAAAGGGAAGCCAGACTGGTTCGTCGTGTCTGTAGGTTGCATTCCTCATGTGGGAATCTGTCTGGGAAGCACCTGGCTGTGCCCACACCTCCAGGGAGCCCAGCACTGGCTGCTGTGACATTCCTGCCCCTGGTGCCTTGTCCTTGAGCCACAGGGAGCTGAAGGCTCTGGCTTTAGAGGCACAGCTCACCCTGGTTCCTGGGCAGCTGAGTGGCAGCTGCTTTGCTCCACTCCTCGCCACTTGGGCAGGCAGCTGCCTGTCCTCCAGACCCCTGGCCACTCTTGGCCAGCCCTGAGCAGCTCCATGACATCCCTTTGGGGCACAGGGCTCCCAGCAGGACCTGCCACCCCTCCAGGGTGCCACCTTGGCCATTCCCAGCTCACCCTAACTGGTGTTCCCAGGATGGGAGCACAGGGGGTGGTGGGATCACCTCCCACCACAGAGAGGGCCTGCCCAGCTGGGAGGCAGAGGAGGGGTGGCAGGTCCTGCAGGGCAGTCCAGGTGGAGCACAGGGCAGTCCTGGAGAGCAGGCCAGTCCTCAGGATGCTGGAACTAGAGCTCAGTCCCACACGGCCCTGGGGACAGCAGGGCTGCACACACACAGCCCCCAGGCCTTTGCCCAAACTGTGCCTTTTCCGTAGAATCACAGCACATCAGAGCAGGAGGGCACCCACAAAGATCACCCAGTCCAACTCCTGACCCTGTCCAGGACACCCCAACATCCCCTGCCTGTGCCTGAGAGCATTGTACAAACACTCCTGGAGCCCTGGCAGCCCTGGGGACATGACCATTCCCTGGGGAGACTGTTCCACGTTCCAATCACCCTCTGGGGAAAGAACCTTTTCCTAATATCCAACCTGAGCCTCCCCTGGCACAGCTTCAAGCTGTTTCTGTGGGTCCTGTGGCCATGCCACCTGCACACAAGTTACTGGGGAGAACTTCACCCTCTCCACACAGGACTGGGAGCCACACAGGGTTAAACACCTCCTGGCATGACCCCACTGGATTTCACCTAGAAATAGGTTTGATCCAAAAGCCCAGAGAGCTGGTGAGCTCTGGGTACAGCAGTGGTACAAGGAACCTTCCACCCCTTTCCCTGGCCTTGTAACACCAACAGTCTCCAGCTTCCAGACCCTTGTGTCAGCCCAGCTGGAAATACTGCAGGAATTTTGCCTGGATGAGCCTGTCCTGGGGAGGGAGCCAGGCATGCTGATAGTTTGGGCATCCCTGCACCACGAGCACCAAGTGCTCCCCACCAGGACCTGGCTCTCATGAGCAAAGGGAAGGACAAGAAAGGGTGAAGGGCAACAGTGGGGCAATTACAGGGAAGGGAGTTATGGTCATAATTCTATTTCTTTTCTTGAGTGAGGAGAAATGCAGCTTGCACTACAGGAATTCAGAGTAAAATCAAATGAAATGCCAGGGCTGCCCAGCCCCATCCATCCTGCAGTGCCTGCTGAGCCCAGCCCCAGCACGGCACAGATCTGTAGGGTCAGCAGAGGAAGGGCCCAGCCCTGTCCTGGATGCCCTGGGGGCTGGAATCAGGGAACAAAAACCTGGTGGCCCCAGCCCGTGGCTCCCTGTGCTCCGTGACTGCAGAGCCAGCTCTCCTCCTGCTGCACTGGATCACAGTCCCTGCCATGCCTTTACACCCTGCTCCTCTTCCAGTTTTATGTCATCTCCACGGCTCTCCCCCTCATAAAATGTGACTGCACCAATTTCTGTGGTCAGGCCTGGCCAGGTAATAGGGACATTTCTTGTTTGCTGGGCAGAGCCTTTAAATCAAAGCCAGCCTATCCCAAGTTCAAAGGAGAGAGGGAAGATCTGGAAGCCCTGTAAGCCTGCAGGATGCTGCAGCCAGAGTGTCTCCCCACTGCCCCGGGTGACCTCCCAGGGGCCCCTGAGCACGGTGGAGGGGTGGGCATCATCTTCCCACCCAGAGCCCTCAGTGAGGCCAGGGCCCAGCAGCGCCTGGTGCTGCCTCCCGAAAGCCCCTGCTCCAGCACGGGGTAGAACAAGGAGATGAGGGTGGTGGGGATGGTGTTTGTGGGGTGGAAGGGACTCTGCTGAAGGGTACGGGGTGGTCAGAGCATGGGGCAGGTCTGGGTGAGGTGCGGGGAAACCAGAGGCTTCAAGGAGAGACGGGTTCGGTCATGGGGAACAGCGATGGTGCCTTCAAACCCTGCTGAAAGCAGTGAGGGTATTCCTTCACTCCCAGCTTCTGGGAGCCACGGAGCAGCCCTGCTGAGAGAAAACTGCTCCCTTGAGCAACTACATAATTGTCCCTGGGCTCTCTTCCCCCTGAGAGCACAGGCATGAGCCTGTTGCCCATCAGTGCCATGGAGAGGGACACCTGGACGTGTAGCTGTCCTCCCGTGGGCTGAGCATCGCCCAGCCCCTCACATCTCCTCATCAGGAGGAAACAGCATTGCCCAGAAAATACTTAAAACAGCCAGGCTTGGCAGGCTGAGTCCAGAAGCCCTCAAATCCCCCTCCCTGTGCTTTTCCAGTGCCTGCTCCTCTCCAAGAAATGGACCTCAGCTGGACCTGGGAACACAACAGTGCCCAAAGATTTTCCATATTTCATCTCCACCAGGCCCTTGTGGTTCTCCTGCTTGCTCACAGGACCCAAGGGAGGAATTGAAGATCCTTGCCCCTCCTGCTGAGTGGCAGCCAGGCCACCAGCTCCCCAGGGAATATTTTATGCCTCACTGTTGCTGAAGGAGCAGGTTTGCAGGCCGACCAACAGCCCCACCAAACAGACCCTCTGCAAAAAGGAAAAGAGCCAAAATATCTGGCACTGGGAGCACAAATGGAGGAGGGGTGACTTGTTGTCCGTGATGGAGGAAAGCTGGGAGCAAAGGAAAAGCTGAGTGTCTCTTTTGTGGCAAAATATCCCCAGAAACGTCACACCAGGGACAGCCAGCTGCCTGCAGAGATGGGTGAGGCTGGAAGGAGAGCAGCCAGCGAGGGCAGAAGGAAAAGCAGGAGGGGCGACAGAAATGTGAGGGAGAAGGACATAAGGATGTGAGGGATAAGGTTGGAGATGTCTGAGGGGAGCACTGCCCACGGTGTGAGTACCAAGGGGCCAGCACAGGCAGACACAGACACAGCCACAGCCCCTGCCCCTGTCCCATGTCCCCTGTCCCCTGTCCCTGCCCCTGCCTCACCGTACCTCCGAAGTCAGGCCTGAGGCGGACGTCATAGCCCTTGAGCAGTTTGTCCACAATCTCTTTCACCACAGAAATATTTCCAGTGGAGGGGCTGAAAGACAAAAGGAGAGAGTTCTCATCATCCCGTGTGGCACCAGGGGTCCCGGCCAGCTACCTCAGCATCCGTCACACCCCAGGGCACCGGGGCACCTCAGCCACGAGCAGAGCCTCTCTGTGCTCTCTCTCACTCGTGTCTTCTGTCCTTGGCACAGCTCCCAGCCCCCCACCTGCCCACGACCCCACAGGAGCCCTGAGCTATCCTGGGAGGGGCTCAGAATTCTCAGCAGTGTTTTGGCTCCTCTACTGTAGCTCACCCTGACTCCAGGGCACCCCAAGCTCTGTCCCTTGGTGCCCCTCTGGTTTAGGCACCCCAGGGGTCCTGCTGCTGCTGCACCCCTCAATGAGCATCCTGAACACTGACCCACACACCCAGGGGGCTTCCCTGTCTGTGCCTACAGAGGGGTGCACAGACAGAGGCAGAAATTGTCCTTTCTGTGCCCCAGGCTGTGCTTGGGGCAGCTGCAGCTCTCCCTTGCAGGTCTCACTCCCCTTCCTCAGCCCAGCTGGGCTCTTGCTCCAGGTCTTACATCAGCCAGCACAGACTTGGCACGTCCCAAGGTCCCCACTACACGAGTGGCGCCCAGCAGGCACCCTGCCCTGTCACACAGCCCAGTGCAGCCTCTGCTTCCCACAGCACCCAGGGCTTTCTTCAGGTTACTGAAGCAAACAAGGAAGATATTGAAGAAAACAATATCTCCTTCTTCTCCTACAGCCTCGATATACGGTTGATCTTTGCCATGTAAAAATTCAGTTTCTGTCACTCAGCATCACTGTAACTTCTTAGCAACGCAGATCAAGAGGCAGAGCCAGGGAAGGAGAGTCCATCTTCCCCTCTGTGTGCCAGAGCAGCAATCCTTTCCCTGGCAGCCCTTTAACCTGCACACAGAGGGGGCAGATGTCCTCCCTAACACCCATCCAGCCGTTACAGCCAGAAAAGAGCTCCTCCTGAAATCAGCCCAAGGGCCAAACCTAAACTGAAGGTGGGAAGCCAGAAAGCAGGGGATGCTAAAAATACTGGCCCTATTGAGTGCTGCGGGGTGTATCAGGTTTTGTGCCTGAATCCCCAGCCTCTGTGCCACCCTCGTCCCCTGCTTTGCATGAGAATAGAGACCCTGCCGGTGACAACTGCTGCTCTTTGCAGTCACCCACCACAACAGCATGTCTCCCTGTCAACACCGCCTCCCACATCCATCCCGGGCAACCTGGAAAGCTGCACCACGGCACTGCCTCTGCCAGCCCCGTGCCAGGGGCTGCCGCTGGCATGTCCCTGTGTCTGCACACACAGACACATAGACAGACAGACAGACAGACAGGCGTGCTCCCCTGGCTGCACGGAGTGGGTAGGGACTCTCTGCCTGTGCACACAGACACAGGGGAGCACTGGGTGAGGTTACAGAACACACACAGAGGTGCGTGCATGTGTGTGACCACCTCCCAGCAAGGGCCTGGAGGTGGCTGGGGGTGCAAACCTTGCTCCGCTGGGGTGTGATGAGACACTGGGCTGTGGACACGATTTATGAGGAGAACAGAAGCAGGCATTTTTGGGTCTGGTGATCCAGACTCTCCCTAGAACTGTGGGTAGAGGCACGTGGGACCACCTGGGAGCCTGGGCAGCTCTCAGGGCTCTGGATGTGCAGGAATTTCTCAGCAGGACTGGGATGTGCAAATGTGAGGCAGCACCCAGCTCTGGTGCATGCACAACCAACGAGCCCTCATGCTGGCAGGGGAAGGGGTCTGAGCTCCACTCCTGAGCGTGCTCCTGAGAGGGGTGCAGCTCTTCCTCGCAGGGCTTTAATCACTGTGAAAAGGCCAGGGAGGTGTGCGCAGGTGGGCGCTTTCACAACGCCGTGTCCAGGCTTGCAGGGTCCGCTTGCACCTGTGGATTTCTCTGCAGGTGTGTGAGGTTTTGCAGCATGCAAAACACAGTCCTGTCACTGAGCACTGGGAGCGTGCAGCAGCATTTGTTCATCTCCAGACAGCAATTCCTAGGTACACAGACTCCCATATTCATAACGTGGACACTGTGCATTTCTCAAAGTATTTGGACACCTCTGCTTGGCTTCCTGCAGTGCATAAACTCAGGAATCAGTGTTTACCTCATTAATATAAGAAGGGAAATTGAGGTAGAGACAGCAAACAATGTGTCAGGGACCCTGTAGAGAGGGGCAGAGTGGGAAGAGGGCCACGGGGACTCTTTCCTCCTCACCAGCTACAAGGTGGCCTAGTGAGAGAATAAACCATCATGATTAAGGACAAGGTCTTTTGCCTCCCAGTGCTCCCTGTGATCCAAAAAGCCACATCCCTCCCACTGAGGAGGCAAGTCGTGCATTTGCCCAGCTGTGGGCGAGCAGCTGCATGCCAGTGCTATTCCTGGCGAATGTGGGTCTGCATCCGCTCGGGGAGCACACACAGCCAGCCTGTGATCTGAATTCCAGAGTGCTGTGCCCCTGATTCTGTGTCAGTGGCCATGTGCTCTGCACAGCCACGTACCCTTGCAGCCAAACATCTCCATCCCAGCACCCCGTGCTGCTGGCTGGGGTGTGTAGGAGTAGCTGGAGGCTCGTGCACATGGAGAGTGTTTTGTCTCCGAGCTGTGCACAGGCACACACGCAGACTACGGGTGAGAATCGGTGCTGGACAGACAGACACACATGCAAGGACACACGTCTGAGCAAAGGGGCTTGCTGTGGGCTTTGAATGTCACACATTAGCTTGGCCAGTGCCTCCCAAGCTGCCTGCGTGTGTGTCCCCACACAGCAGGACCACGCATGAATGGTGTGGGCAAGGTGGGCGCGCCTGCGCCTGCGTGTGTTTATAACCATGGGAGCACAAATCTGGGCACCCACAGCCCTGCAAGGACCTGTGAGTGTTTATAACCATGGGAACACAGCCCTGCAAGGACCTGTGAGTGTTTGTGACCATGGGAGCACAATCTGGGCACCCACAGCCCTGCAAGGACCTGTGTGTGTTTATAATGATGGGAACACAAATGTGGGCACCCACAGCCCTGCAAGAACCTGTGCGTGTTTATAACCACGGAAACACAAATCTGGGCACCCACAGCTCTGCAAGGACCTGTGCGTGTTTATAACGATGGGAGCACAAATCTGGGTACCCACAGCCTCACAGAGTGTGTGTGTGTGTGTGTGTGTGTGTGTGTGTGTGTGTGTTTATAATGACAGGAACACAAATCTGGGCACTCACAGCCCCAAGAGGAACCATGCATGTTTATAATGACGGCAGCACAAATGTGGGCACCCACAGCCGCACAAGGACTGCGTGTGTGCGCCGGGATCGCGCAGCTCCCCGAGCACGGCTGGGCAGGGAGATGCCAGAGCTCCCCCCGCCAGCGCGCAGGGACAAACGCACCTGCCCGCAGGTGTGCGGAGGGAGGCAGGGAGGGAGGCAGGGTGAGCAGCAGCAGCAGCAGGCAGCGCTACCCCCGTGCGTGAAGGAGCGGATGAGCGAGCAAACAGGTGCGCTCCGCACACCTTGGCCTGGCTGGATGGGCGCCCGCAGCTCCGGAGCGCCGCGAGAGCTCCGGGCACAGCCCAGGAACAGCCGGAGCGGGCAGGGGAGCGGTGCCAGCTCTGCCCGGTGCCACGCAGGGCAGCTGAAGCTGCGCGCTGGAGGTGCGAGCGAGTGACACACGGGTGCACGGCTGGCTGCGCACACGCAGGGCCGGATCCGGATGGATGGCACCCGCGGAGGAGGTGTTGCATGCCACCGATCCGCGCGGGGCACGGCCGTGGGCATCGCCCCCGGGGCTCCGCAGAGCCGCGGCTGTGGCACAGCGCAGCCCGCACGGATGCGAGCGTGGCTGCGTGTGCACGGCCAAGGCAGCCCGTGCCGGGCGCGCAGCGCAGCTCCGGGGCTCCTGCGGGCACCATGTTCCCCAGCAAAGCCCTTCGCTTGGCCATTTTCCCCCGGGCTGGGCAGGGGGACACGCACACACGCTCTGCGAGGTGGGCTCCGTCCGCAGAGTCTGCTCCACATCTCATGTACGAGCATCCCTCCTCCCCCCGAACGGCGCGGGCTGGGGAATAACAATAGCAGACGGCAGGGGAAGCGATTTGGGGAAAGAACCCCCTCCTCTTCCCCACATCCAGCTCGATGGAGAAAAGCCCGACCAAGACAAACAAGCCCTGTGCCAGCCCCCCGTCCCTGCAGCCTGGGATCGCAATCCTTACCTTTGCGCACAGCAGGCGAGACAAAGAGCTGCTAAAGCAGAGACAATTCCACTCAATCTGTCTGCCTGAAATGTCCACATTTCCACAAAGACGAAGGATGAAAAAAAAAATCTTTGGAGGGGAGGGGAAAGAAAGATGGATCTTCTGAAGTCCCCCTCCAAAAAAAGGGGGGGAGGGAAAAAAGAAACCAACCCCCCCCCCAGTTAATGATTTCCTAGAGAAAAAGAATAATGACAAAAAATTAAAAAATGAGGGGGAAAAATATCCCCCCCGGTGCTTCAGTGCCAGTCAAAGAATTCGTTTCTTCTTCCTTTCAGCATCCTCTCAACAAGAGACATCCTCTGGCAATGGAGAAAATCCCAAGAGAAAGAAAAATAAAATGCCCCAAAATGGGCTCAGCAAAATGTGAAATCGAATCTCACAGGTACGCGGCAGAAGAAGAATGAAAAATTAAAAAAAAAAAAAAAAAAAAAAAAAAAAAAAAAAGGAAAAAGAAAAAAACCCAACTCAGTGTCCCCTGAGCACTCCACTTGGATTATTTTTCCTCCTGCTCTTTTGCCATCCGGTTCTGCAGATGTTGCATGGCTCCTGCTACCCACCTTCAGAGAGGAGGAGGAGGAGAAAGAGCGTGTGTGTGTGTGTGTGTGTGTGTGTGTGAGAGAGAGAGAGAGAGAGGGAGGACGTGTGAGTTTTCGAGCAATATGATTTTATTCTGGATTTTACCTATTTGCTCCCCCTTTCCTCTTTATTTTCCAACGGGGGAAGGGGAAGCCACCCAGCCCCACTGTGCAGTTATTTTATTTTAGGGAAATCTCAGGCTCGTCACTTGGGAGGTTTGGGGCTTTTGTGAAAAGGCTAAAAAGAAAAAAAAATAAAATAAAAAAGGAACAGCAAATGCAGCCCAGTGAATAAAAAAAATTACATATATGCATGTGTAGAAAATAGATAAATCCCTGTCTGCAGCAGGGCTGCTCTCGCAGGCAGGGCTGGATGTCTCCCTAGTGCTGTTGCCGCAGCTCCTGTGGAGTTTTGCTGCTCATTGCAAAGTCACAAGAGGAGGGGAGGAGAGAGGGAGTTTGTGGTTGGGGAGGGGGACTCTCCGGACAAATTGGGATCCTGACGTCATGGCTGACAGCATTAACCCCTGCTGGCTTGCAGAGAGGATGGATGAGCATTTTTGCTGAGGTGGATTTTTGTTTTTTTTTTCCCCGGGGAGGTGGGCACAGGGAAGATGATGGGAAAGGTGATGGCATTTTGGCAAGAGGGGGGCTGTGCCTGGACAAGAGTGGCTCAGCTGTGAGCGCTGATGGGTGCTGTGGCTGCCTGAAACACTGTCATCAGCACAGGCTGAGCTTCCTCCTGCAGCCACAGAGATGGAAAATGAGGTGATTTCCTCAGAATGTCTCCATGCCACAGAGCCCAGTGGCCTGGTGGCCTCCTCCAGGGGCACTGGGGGAGATCTGGAGGCTCTGCTGGGGCTGGAGACTCCCCCAGGCTGGGGAAGCCCAGTTCAGGAGGGATGCTCAGCTCTCCCTGAAGGATGCTGTTATGCATACAATGGAGTTTGTGGGAAAAGGGAGCCTGGACTTCCAGAAATGCTGCTGAGGATCAGCTCCTGGTGCTGGGGCTTTGCCTGCTGGAATGGTAACAGCCATTGAAATCACCACGGCCTCCTGTGCACCAGCCTCTGATCTTTGTCTTAAAAAATAATATAATGAAGGAACTCTCCATCAGGCATGCAGTAATGTACTACCAGGAAGGATTTTTTTTTTCTCTAGGAAAAAGAAGAGATCCAGCAGCACTGTGAATGCAGAGCAGAAGCCACAGCTCAAGGAGGAAACATCTGAGCTCTCACCAGCCTGGATGGGATCTCCTCTGCACCTGCCTGGCAGCTCAGAGCAGCCCTTCTGAAAAGGTACATCCTGGTTTGCACCCGTGTGTAGATGGTCTCCAAAGCCCTCTGGGACAAGGGGCAGAGCACATGTGTCTCTGCAGCTGGGCAGGACCAGCTCCAAAATGCCTCTGAAGGGGCACAGGGCAATGTCCAGTGGCCACTGGGGAGCTGCTCTGTCCTGCCCTCCCTGCAGGGAGATCTGGCCAGCAGGAGCAGGGAGGTCACTCTGCCCCTGTCCCGTTCTGTGTGAATCTGAGAGCATCCTTCTCTCTGGGATTCCTAATGCTCCTTTCCCTCATACCTGGCTTGGCTCTACTTGGTTTCCTCATCAGAGGCATCAGATCCTGTGCTCCCAATCTCCTTCTCCCAAAAAGCCTGGTGGGGAGTGCCATTTCTGAGGAGCTTCCCCCTGGCAGGCCACATGCACTGTGGCCGTGCAGAGCCACCAAACCAGGGAACAGCTGAGTGCTGTGCTGAGCTGGCCTGGAGTCACTGGGGACACTGAACCTGTGGGGCTCGTGGGGCAAAGGAAGGCTGGGAGAAGGTTTAACATCTGCAGTGAGGCTGGGCTACAATGAGAAGGGAGAAGTTCTTCTCACTTACTCCTGAGGCTGGTGGGAAATGTTCTCTGCTTGGTTTAGTGCCCAGACCACCCCTGCTTGTCCAGACTTAGCAAATTAAGCTCAGAGCAGTGATCTCTACTGCCTTCCCAAAGACCAAAGCAAGTAAGTGGCACTTGTCACCTGCCAGTGAATGTGCCTGCCCCTGTGGAGTCAGGGCCATGTTGCCCATGGCTTTCACTGCTGGCCACTCACTGTGGCCTCCACAGGGAATGCAGGGTGCAGGGACCTCCCCAGGACACCCAGCTGGTGACATTTCACTGCATGGCAGCACAGAGCAAGCCTGTGTGCCTGGGCTCCCAGTGCTGGCCCTGCACTGTGCCCTCAGGATGCCCCTGGGCTCCCACACACCAGGTGTCACAAGCAATTCATGCTTTGTCACCATCCCCAGGAGATTGTGGCTCCCTAATTCCTGTGGCTGAGGGGTCCATGGCCAAAGCTGTAGGGTTTCTCCACAACTCTGTTGAAGAAGAGGAGCCAGCCCAGCAGATCTGATCTTGCAGGATGTCCCCACGTGCCCAGGATGAGCTGCCTGGTGCCATCAGGTGCTGGCTGTGTACAGGTACAGCATTTACCTCCTCTGCTGCTGCCAGCATGCAGAGCTCCTGACAGCACGGACTTTCTGAAGCATTTATTCTGATTTAAGCTGCTGGGCACCAGGGAGGAGCTCTTGGGGAGATTGGGCACCAGAGGCCCCATTAAGCCCTACCTGGTCCCTTCCTGTTCTGCCCCCTTTGCTCTGCTCCCTCCCACCAGCCATGATTGCAGGTTACTGGCAGGAAAGGTAAGTGAAAGGCAAATGTCAGAGGCACACATGAAGAGGAAAAATTATGCTCACAAATGGTGACATTTGTGCTTGCAAGTTCTCTCAGTTGGGAGCAGAAACCGTGTCACATGAATTATCTGACCACTCAGCCACAACAGGGAACTTTGGAAAGCCCTGCTTGGCAGGGAATGCATCCAAAGGAGCTTCTGGGTGCTGCTGAACACGCTACCTGGAGCCATGTTCTGGATAAAGGACTGCTCTGGAGTTAGTGCCCACCTCTGCTGGCTGTCGTGAAGGCTGATGCAGATGTGCCCATGCTCACTGAGGGGTTTGTTCCTTGCTCTCCAGAAGATGGGCCCCGCTGGGTGCTGCTGAACACCCTACCTGGAGCCATGTTCTGGATAAAGCCTGCTCTGGAGTTAGTGCCCACCTCTGCTGGCTCTCGTGAAGGCTGATGCAGATGTGCCCATGCTCACTGAGGGGTTTGTTCCTTGCCCTCCAGAAGATGGGCCCCTCCCTGAGCCCCAAAAGCTGTGTCTCCCTCCCCTTCTGGGGGCTGCCTGCTCTCCAGGGAGGGCCCAGTGATGGGCTGTTCTGAAGTTCACATTCTGACCCTGCCAGTGTCTGTGAGAGGCTGCAGCTGTGGCTGTAACCACCCTACAGAGGCCATGGGCATGGTGTTTGTGGCCATGTGCTGTCCTCCACTATTAAATCACTCATTTTCACTCCTCTGTTACTTCCTGATCTGCTGAAATCTCCACACCCTGGCCTCTCTTCTTCTCCAGTGGTCACTACCAGTTCCAAGCCCCAAGTGCTGCTTTTCCCAAGGGCTTGCCATCAAGGTGAAAAATCTCCCTCACGCCCTCTCCCAGCCAGCTGGAGAGCTGGGTCTTCTGCCCAGCCAACAATTCCCAGAAGAAGATGGTTGTTCCTCTAAAGCAGAACAAGAACAAGAGCAGAGAAAGAAAAAGAACTTTTATAAAACCAGAAATTTAATGGAAGTCCTGCAGAAAAAGAGAAAATGCAGTCTTACAGCTGGCATTTCTGTGCAGAAGGTAGAAAACAACCTGAAAATAAATGAAGTGCACTTCATGAGGTGGAAATAGAGACAAGCAGAGGCAAAGGGAAGTTTTCCCATCCTGTATAGAACACAGACTCTGTGTCCTGCTGCAGCTGCATCCAGGATTGAGCTCACTAAACCAAAGAGTCTTTGCAATTCCAGTTCCAGGTTCCTGCAGGAAAGGTTTCCCTCGAGCTATCCTACAGGACAAAGGCTCCATCATCCCCCCCAGGGCCATCTAAACACCCTCAGCTGCTGGCAAAGAAAGACCACAAGTCACAGCCCCCTTGGACTGGTGGGGCTGAGAGCTACCATCAGCTGCTTGGGCAGCTGTGACTCCTGTTTTAGTGACTGCATCCTCTGATCCACAAATGCCTCCTCATGTCTAGCCTAGGAGCCTCTCTGCCTGGACACACCATGTGCTAGATGTTAGATATTCCTGAGGAAATGCCTCAGAGTGCATCCACAGGGCTCCCCATCTTTGCTGAGCTAAAGATCCTTCACCACTTTGCAAGGTAGTCCAGAGTATGTGGGAATGTTGACCATTCTTAGGAACTGTGAATGGAGGAATTGATGAGCAGAATTTACCTGCAGTCCTGTATGTCCCATGTGCTCAAATCTCTCCAAGCAGAGCATCAAAGTGTGGTGGGAAGGGACAAAGGATTGTCCTTGGAGGTGGCTTCATGCACCACCTCCCATTCCAGCCTGTCTTTGAGCTGAGGAGGCTGCAGACAATGTTCAGTTTGGGCTTTCCTTCATTTGGGAAATGATCTGGCCTTTGAGCAAAGGTCCTCTGGTTAGGAGTGTGCAGAAGTGCTGTGCTTGCTGGGGTTGTTGATAGCTGTGGTGGTTGAGGTTTAGCCCTTATGTCTACAACAAAAGAACATCACTCCCAACAACACAGCCTGCAGGGTGACAGTGACACTGTCCTGGCCTGTGGCACAAGGACAATGTGCTCC